GAGAAACTGATTTCAGGTAAATCATGACATAATCATGCATTCATTATAGGATTCCTAATTGGAGTTATTTTCACTCAAAGTATTTTTATCTTAATCTTATTTTTAATAGGATTAGATTTTATCTCTTGAGATTACTTTCCTAGTTGGACTCTATTTTGATTTAATTTTTATCTTTTCCCGTTATGACTTGCACGTTGCTCATCTCCTATTTGATTGGTCTAATTAGTTTGTTTTAGAAGATATTGTCTCTCCCACAAATATTGGTTGTTTGGCATCGTCATCTAGAGTCCATACTAGGTCAAAATTGATATTCATGATTGATACTATTTGTAGTGTCATGTTTGGCGTCCTTACAGGAAGTTGATATTGAATTAAAGGTATTATTCATAATGGCATTGTAGTGTGTCTTTTGTTTTGATGTGATTGACTTGAGTCCATATGGGATCAAGTTTGAGAATCACAATTGAATAGAATTATTGGACTATTGGGTTCCTCTCTTACTAGAGAGAACCTGCCTTGAATAAAACGTGTGTCTCATTTTCACATACATAGCTTTCGACATATTTGGTTTTGCATAGATTGAATTTTCAAGAGAAAGCTCCTACGCATATTTTTCAAATAAGTCATCAAATTTGTAGAAAGCATCGTCATTGCATGAAATGAGGAGTGTCTATATATGAGTTGATCAGGAACTTAATAACCATACCAATGGGCAACACGTATGTATAGCCTCAATACTCCCTAATTCAACTTACAATGATCTAGGCAGACCCAAATTGGAAATATTTTATTCATCCAAATCGAAAAAGAAATACAATTAATAAGTTCTTCATCTTCAAATCCAATCCAACAAACAAAATTAATAAGTTGAATAAACTATTTCAAGTGGCCAACAAAAAACCATGGGATTAAAACAAAGATGGAAGGAGAGAGAGAGAAAAGCAAACCTGAGATTTTATGTTGGTTTTAATTTTAAGGGTATTTGTGTCTATTTATGTGAGTTTTTGGCTATATTTGAAAGATTTTACAAAAACTGACATTGTTGAAAGTGGGGGTTAAATTTTGGATTCGTTATTATAAATTCTCCAATTTTAGTCATTCTTCAAGTATTTTCAGATTTCTTGTCAACGGTATGACAAATAGCTTTTTATGGCCGTGTTAGTGCCCGTTTGGCATTGCTTATTTGGGGTGATAAGTGATTTTTTTTAAAATGTTGGGAAGCTCAACATGTTTGGTAAACTATGAGAAAATCACTTATTGTTAAAAATTGATGTGAGAGAAAGCTATAAGGGAAAGCAGCAAATGAGGCGCTTTCATTTTCTGATTATGCAGGAATCAGTTTCGAAGAGGCTGGGTTTAATGATTATGTGGGAATCAAAAGTTTACTAAACACCAAACTGCTTTCTCTCACAGTTAATCTGACAACGATTATTTCCACAGCATAGCAATGCCAAACAAATGATTATGCAGCAATCATTTTCTGGTTATGCGGCAATCAATACCAACAACACTTTTGAACGAAAAGTTTACCAAACGCCAAACTGTTTTCTCTTACATTTGATTTCTCTCACAACAAATATGACAGCGATTATTTTCACAACACAGAAATATCAAACTGGCTCTAAGTATCTACCAAGCTCATGGCTGACGAACAACTTCAAGGCTGAGTTTTTTTCCATCAGCAACACTTATTAGTCTCAAAGAAGTGTTGGCGTGACATGCGGATATTGACTTACTTTCCTTACACACCAAGAATTCCTATTATAATTATAATTGATTTACTTTAATTCTTGATTTCCTATTGTAAATAGATTTAGGAATTTATTATTTACTTGCCCATTCAGGTTTCGTTGTATTATAAATATGACCTCCTACAAGGAGAAGAATACACAGAAAATTCCCACAAACAAATATTCTCTCATTGTTTTCATATTTTAGCATGGTATCATAGCGGCGATCTTGGAATTGCTAACTCTAGTTTCACACCCCCACCACTGCTATGGGGGTTGGTGATTTTTTCATCCCTCATGGAGGTAGCACCACCGACCCCTTCTCTCCTTCTCAACCAACCATAGCCGAGTTGAGTGCCCAGATGACTCAGCTCCTACAGATGCAGACTTTGGCCCCGAATCTAATTCTGAATTAGGATCCTCTTTTGACGACCCCGACCCCGACCCCGACTATGATGACGACGACGACCTCGACTCCTACTCTGACTCCGGCAACGACCTCGACCCCCACTCCAATGATGACTCCGACCCCAACCTCGAATTTGTCTTTGATTCAGACCCCGATCTCGACTTCGACTCCGACTCCGATCCCGACTCAAGCTCAGATCCCGATCCGAATTCCTACTAAACCTGTATCCTATACATCTTCCGCTGCACTGATTATGACTTCTCAACTAACGACCCCGACACATAGACCAAATTGTGAATATTGTGGTGACCCGATACACACTCGTGGGACTTGTTTTAAATTGCATGGCTATCCCGATTGGTGGGCTACTCTTAAAGATCGAGGACAACGCAATACGACCAGTAATGGTACTGGTTATGGATTCCACACTTCCGCTAAGATTGATTCCAGGAGTTGGATAATTGATTCCAGTGCAACTGATCATATGACGTTTGATCCTGATGATTTTCTAAATACTACACAACCTCGACGAACCTGTATTGCAAATGCCAATGGCGTTACTTATCCTGTGACAGGGGCTGGCACTGTTGCACTCTCATCCTCTCTCACACTGTCTAATACTTTACTTGTTCCATCTTTATCTACTAAATTGTTGTCCGTTAGTCAGCTTACTGAACAATTGAATTGTTGTGTACTCATTTACCCGAGTTTTTGTTTGCTTCAGGATATTCACACTAAGGAGATTCTTGGTCGTGGTACTAAGAGAGGGGGGCTATATTATGTCGATGACTTCAGTCCTGGCATAGCTAACAGTGTGACGCATCCCTTTGATAGCAAACAAAAATAAATCTGGTTGTGGCACCGTCAATTAGGACATCTGTCTTTTAGTTATATGAAGCATCTTATACCAGATTTATTCTC